ATTATTGACTGCTGCATGTGACCAAATCCATGTATATCAATCAAATCAGTCTGTATGACTGTTTTTAAATAAATTTGCACCAAGGGTTGTATTCTAATTTTCAGTTATGTACATGTCACAGAAAATATTTTTATAGTGTAATTCAAATTTGTTAGTGCATAAATGTTTCCAGCTGTATTTATATCCTTACAGATTTCTGGTCAATTGCTTCATGGATATTTTCAAAGGACAGCAGTTATGTTGCTTTTAAAAAAAAAACATTGCAATGTTTTCTCAATTCATTGCAAAATCATTTGTATTGGCATATAATGTTGCTTATCAGGGAGAAATTACTCATTCCTATACTTTTAGAGATCCATGAAAACTAACAAACAATCATCTTTTATTTACCATAAGAAGTAGGGCAGCTACATTTATCATTCATGTTTAGCAGGAAAAAAACATTTTTTTTCAGTAGAACAGATCCACAGTTCATTATAAAAGGTAAAGGTTCCCCTCGCACATATGTGCTAGTCGTTCCCGACTCTAGGGGGGGCGATGCTCATCTCCGTTTCAAAGCCGAAAAGCAAATGCTGTCCAAAGATGTCTCCGTGGTCATGTGACCAGCATGACTAAATGCCAAAGGTGCACAGAATGCTGTTACCTTCCCACCAAAGGTGGTCCCTATTTTTCTACTTGCATTTTTTACATGCTTTGGAACTCCTAGGTTGGCAGAAGCTGGGACAAGTAACGGGAGCTCACCCTATTACACGGCACTAGGGATTTGAACCGCTGAACTGCCGACCTTTCGATCGACAAGCTTAGTGTCTTAGCCACTGAGCTACCGCGTCCCTTATACAGTTCATTATGGGACATCTTAAAAGGACATGCAAAACAAAAAGAAAAGGAAAACTTCTGTGAACAAGAGAATAGGAGATTTCCACAAAAATATAGTTATGTCTTTATTAGAGAACAAAGCTGGAGATTGAATTTGCCTTCAGGATCTGTAGATATTGTCAAATGAGGGACAATATCTACATGCACAACCAAGCATGTGATGACGAAGGGTGAAATTTTCTTCATAGAATCATGGAGAGGACTAATTACAGTTGGAATTATGCAGCGTTTCAAGACTTTTTCTGCTTGGAAGAGGACAGAATCTTCTTCATGCAAATAGAGAGAGAAAAACTATGGTGCTTCCACCTCACCACAGATCCATGCAGTGGATACAAAGAGATGCACAAATGATCTGGGAACAGGATTTCTGGATAGGATGGTTGAAAGTCATCATATTGCTGTTATTAAGACTGGAACAAGCAGCCTTTTCTTCAACAAGATAATGGCTAGGCCATAAAGGAAAAAAGTGGATGACCTTATTTTAGTGTTGATTGTCACAATGTACTCCCTGAGCTGGGATTGCTCTAGTGCTCTATTGCACTATTACCATTAAAAACCATTTAAGTCCAGATTCCAACATGTTGAAGAGAACATGATTTTTCTTCTCTGTTTTTTACAGCTTCTACAATTGCACTCAATAATTTGCAGGTGGTTTATGTTTTATGTTTTTAATTAGAAATGAATTAGATAGCAGTTAACATGTACAGATATTCACACCGTTATGATGTCATAGTATTCTTCAGTATTCTTATTCTATTAATGCAACAAATTTCTCCAAGGCTTTTATGAGAGTTTGTCCGCAATTAACATTTTAGACTGATGCACAAAAAAAATCTCTCTAAGAAAGATTTGCTGGGGGAAGGCTGCTTGTTTTTTTTTTTTTTATTATTATTATTATTTTCTTTGGCTAAACTGAGTACCTTGTGCCATAATCACTTAAAAACAAGTACTGTGATTTCATGTTACTTTGGATATGTGAAGAATCTAAACAGGGGGACAAAGCCTTAACTTACTAACACATCTTGCCATCACTGTGCGTATCTCTGTGTTTTCATGACGGTTTTAGTATCACATTGGTTATTAAAGAGGGATCACTCTTTGGTATGCTTTTTTTTTTTTTTTAGTATGGGAGACTTTGGGCAGTGTTGGGCTTCAGAATTTAGTGACTGTGGTCTAGACAACAGATTTCCTGATATTTTGCCAGCAACTGTGTCTGTATCCAGTGGTGGAATTCAATTTTTTTTACTACCGGTGCTGTGGGCATGACCTGGTGGGCATGGCTTGGTAGTCATGTGAGTGGCTGGGCATGGCCAACTCAATGTCACTCCCACCCAGTCACATGACACACACCCCAACCACACCTACTCAGGTTTTGTAGCTCCCGGTGTTTTCTGTGGGAAATGGGTCATGTGACTGGATGGGCATGGCCAACTTGATTGGTCTCACCCTTAGGAAATTTCTCCTTAGTCCAACTCACAATAAAATAGCACAATAAAATGGCACTGTTCCAATATTTAGAATAGAATAACAGAGTTGGAAAGGACCTTGGAGGTCTTCTAGTCCAACCCCCTGCTTGGGTAGGAAACCTTACACCACTTCAGACAAATGATTATCCAATCTCTTCTTAAAAACTTCCAGTGTTGGAGCATTTAAAACTTCTGGAGGCAAGTTGTTCCACTGATTAATTGTTCTGTTAGGAAATTTGAGGGGGTCCTACAAAAATGAGGGAGTCAATCTATTTTCCAAAGCACCAAAAGGCACAACAAGAATCAATGGATGGAAACTAACCAAAGAGAGAAGCAACCTAGGGCTAAGGAGAAATTTCCTAAGGGTGAGACCAATCAACCAATGGAATAGTTTGCCATCACTAGAGGCTTTCAAAAAAAGTGAGGGAAGTACACCCAAAAAGACAGTGCCAGAAACCACTAAAACAATGCAGAAACTTAAAACAGCCATCCCCTTTTTAAAAAAAAGTCAACCCTAAAGCAAATGCAGCTGAGAGGGAAACTAAGAGCAGCTGCTCAGGCTAATTGAAAGCCTGGGCGTGCTGCCAAAAGCTATTAACCCTTCCAACTCTATTATTCTATGTTCTCTATGTTCTAAATTGGGTGCTTCACAGCAGAAGCAATACAGCTGGATGGACCACACATGCATTAAATTCACAGCCTGTATGATCAAGTGCATCATTGTCCCCTCCTGTATCCTTTCCCCTAGGAAGAAACAAGAAGTAGCCAACACTGCAGCAGCTATAAAAGGTCTTGGGAAACTCCAGGGAGTATCAGCTGATCACAGAAGTGTTACTTAATACTCTATAATGAACATGTTTGTAATCTTTTCCTTCTTCCTGAAGGGAAGAGGTTAATCCCATCTGTAGATGGGTGATTGATGGGTTTCCCTGCCCTAATCCTGTAAATTTCTGTTGTTTCTCTTGTTCAATCATTGACTTGATTGACTTGTATCGGCTGCATTCCAGCTACAACTGTTAAGTGGAGCTATTAACTGAAAGGAGAGAGAGAGAGAGAGAGAGAGAGAGAGAGAGAAACACCTCTCTTGCGCTTTATTTTTAACCGGTTCTACGAACTGCCTAAGCAATTTACAAATGGTTTGGGCGAACCAGTGAGAACCGGCTGAATTTCACCTGTGTCTGTATCCTCAGGGTAACATAGGATGTCAGCCACAGCTGCCAGTCAATCATCAGAAAATCTGTTATCTGGACCGCAGTCACTAAATCTTGAAGCCCAGCAGTATCCAGCAGATACCAGCTATCAAAGATTACACCATGGAGATATTGTTTGCTCCTTAGAAGCAGAGGAAAGCCATGATATTTTTCATTTTCCTACCATAATTAAGATTACATGGTTACTTGTTCATGCCACATCCTACTAAATATGCCACATTATGCTGTCACAATGAATTTCCATCCTTTTGCACCCAGCTTGTACACAAATACCAAAAGGGCAGAATTTGCATGATGCTTGATTCTGTTTCTATTCTTTTAATGAAAGCCTCCAATTCTGCAGAAGTCTCTGATCACAGAAGTTCTTACCTTACCTACAAATTCATAGAATAGAATAGAGCAGAGCAGAGCAGAGCAGAGCAGAGCAGAGCAGAGCAGAGGAGAGGAGAGGAGAGGAGAGGAGAGGAGAACAGAGCTGGAAGAGACCTTGGAGGTCTTGTAGCCCAACCAGTGGTGGGTTGCTCCCAGTTCGGTCCGGTTCTTGTGAACCGGTAGTAAAAGCAGCGGGAGGCTTGGCCCACCCGCCCAGATGTCATCATGGATGATCTGCACATGAGCAGAAGCTTCTGCGCATGTGCGCTCCCATTGCAATCCGGTAGTAAAGGTAAATAGAGCCCAACCCCCTGCTCAAGCAGGAGACCCTGTACCATTTCAGACAAGTGACTGTCCAGTCTTTTCTTAAAAACCTCCAGTGATGAAGCACCCACAACTTCTGAAGGCAAGCCATTCCACTGGTTAATTGTTCTCACTGTTAGGAAGTTTCTCCTTAATTCCAGGTTGCTTCTCTCCTTGATTAGTTTCTGCTCATTATTTCTTGTCCTGTCCTCTGGCACTTTGGAATACTGAATGATAGTTCCTTTACTCCTCCTCATGCTCGTATGCTCCTCTCAAATAGTAATATCACTTGTCCATTAAGAAAATGCAACAGAAAGGGTGAATTAGGGAAAATCACAAAGCCCAGAGAATGTCTTTTGGGACACAAACCTCATTAGAGGTGGGGTAGATTTTGCTTCCATACAAATGGTACATAAGTACAACTGGGTGAAAAATTGCATATAGAGTCTGGGACAAAAAGACTCTTGCCTGAAACAGTAGAAAATACCTGCCAAAATTCTCAGTTAGTGCAAAGTTTATATTATATCTCAGTGTAAAGGTATTTTATTGTACAGTATATTTAATTTTTCAGCTAAAACTAAAGATGTTTGCAAAACATCACCCAGTAGAGTTTCACCAACATATAGAGATGAAAGGATGAATCCGGTACTTATAAATGTTTAGTTCACATTCCAATCACTATAAGGGATTTTGCTTTATTTATGCAGGCAATCAGTTACACAAAAGTCAAATCCATTGTTATTTTCCCCAATTTTTTTTTAAACTTGCTTAGGATCTGGACCATGTACAATTACACCTGGAAGAAGTGAGGTTCTTTGATTTATTCAGTTATAATGAAGAAGTGGGAGCTTGGCAATGTTTCATGTGTAACAATCCTGACAAGGCAACAGGTAAGAGACTTTTCTGCAGAAGAACTGAGTTATATATGTAATACAGATTCAGAATCTAATAAAGGATGTGCTGCATAAAATATCTGAATTATGCAATCATGTTATTAACAGTGAGAGGTATAGTAGTTAAGGTCTGGTATAGTAGTTAAGGTTTACCATTTTGTCTGAAATGGTATAGGGTTTCCTGCCTGAGTAGGGGGTTGGACTAGAAAATCTCCAAGGTCCCTGTCAACTATTCTATTCTGTTCTGTTCTGTTCTGTTCTGTTCTGTTCTGTTCTGTTCTGTTCTGTTCCTCTATCTTGCTTGGAAAACTTGGCTATAACTTGACCTAAGCAAGGTTAGGTCATTATCATCATCATCAGAAAAAAAGGAAGAACAAATTAAGTTAAATGTGAAATTTAAAATGAAATCTTTTTGGACAGACTCTTAATATTCACAGTCAGTCAGATCACTTCTAAAGTTGCATGTTTACCTGTGATCTCAATAGTGAAGTTTGGCCATTTCCATAAGGCAAATTTCAATTATTGACAAGTTTTGTTATTTTACAGATCAAATAAAGGGTTAGGGTTAGGTGGCCTTTAAAACCACTTTAAAAAAGTTTCTTAAGAATAAATTAGGGTGGAGAATATTACTGTAATAAATGGAGAGAAGTTTTGTCATAGTATTAAATACACAATAGAATTCTATATTAAATACTAATGTAATTATGAGATTTCAGGATTTACAGAGTGTGAAAATATAATGGCCACATTCAAACATCAAATCTAAAATGTGAGATTTCATAATTGACAAATCTGATGGCTGAGACAATTCCACCACACTGGAGGAAATGCAATAAATGCCCTTGGTACTGTCCTTTAAATAAACATGTAAGATGTGTTTATTTTAACATTCTTGATGCTGCTATTTTACTTTTTGAACATTGATAGTTAGCATATTGTTTACATAAACTTAATAAAATTTTGCTGAGCAAATCAAGCATTTTTTTTTTGCTCTGTAGTTTTTTTAAGCTATTAGTTTCCTTGTCAATTTCTGTGTCTTCTGGGTAGACCTCAGTAAAATGCAATTGTACAACTAATTATTCTTTGGGACCAGTATATTTGTGCTGGAAACAAATCACTGTTTTGGACAGATGGAATTATGAGAAGTAAAACAGTTGCCAGTTAAAATGACTTGCCATCTGAAGATGTGAAGCCATTGAAATTATTCAGCAGGATGGAAACAGCTGGCAATTAAGGAGTTTGGACAACTTTTTAATGCTGACTGTTGGCTATTACGCAGAGATGAAAACTTTTTAAAAATCCCACTAACATCATACAGCCTTGTATCCATGAAGTGCTTTTTACTGTATTTCAACTGGCTCAGTTTTGCTTCAGAATTGATTCTATGACATTTCCAAAGACAAATTTATTCATTTTCCTCAGTAGCACATCTGTTTAAGAGTATGATCTAGACTGAGTTATTATTTGGTTAAAGTGTTGTTTTTTGCAACGCCTAAACAAAGTAAATTAAAACTGAAATCATAACCACATCAACCGGAAGAATGTATTATTGATATGAATAAGATTAATAAGAAGTTAATAAGAGTTACAGTAAAAGCAGGGATGTTATTCTTTTGTTCTGAAACATGTCATACAAGTTCAAACATTATAATATTATGGCATATTTTAATCCTAATGCCCTTTCTTCAAGATGTATACTAAAAGCTCTTAAGAGTCTGCACAATCAAATTCACTTTCAATCTGTTTCCTTCTATTTCTCTTCCCTCTGCTCCCCCCCATTTTACATAGTACAACCCAATTCTAAATTTATGTATGCTTACAGATTTTTTTTATTCCTTTATGTTTTATTCTTCTGCTGTTATTTTACTCAGAGTAGAAGTAATAGCTAAAAATACATGTAGAAAGCAGTAGAAAGCTGGTGTGCATTGGTCCTACGTGCTTAATTAAGTTCTGCTTCATTGATCAGTGAATGTTTGTTGACATAACTGCCTACAATATTCACATTTACACCAATATTATTTATGTTCCCTGTTGTTTCTATGCATTATAAATTTAGGTTTCCATTCAACTGCACCGGGTTTTTTGAAATGTTCTGTAGCTAATTGCTTTTGGCAGCCCATGGAAGCAACATAGTATGCTTTGTACATGCTCATAGGAAATATTAACTGTGAAGTCTTTGGTGCTCTCTGACCTTGATGGTTTCCTTGTGGATGTTTCATTACCAAACTAAGTAACGTCAACAATGCTAGAGGGCGGGGTGGAATAAAGGAATTATTTGGAATAAAGGAATACTTCCACAAACACTGACACGGCCAGCCACTAGTTTATACAAATAAGAGCAAACCCCACTCACTTTTAGCCCTGATGATGTTGGTAATGAAATATCTGCAAGAAAACCATCAAAATCAGAGAGAGGCAAGGACCCCATAGTTCAATCCTGACTTACAAATATTCTCTTCTATTGGTAATTGATCAACTGCTTGATCATCAAAAAAATCATCCCTGTGCAGCAGTGGTGGGTTTCAAAAATTTTTACTACCGGTTCTCTGGGTGTGGCTTAGTGGGTGTGGCATGGCTTGGTGGGTGTGGCTTGGTAGGCATGGCAGGGGAAGGATACTGTAAAATCTCCATTCCCACCCCACTCCAGGGGAAGGTTACTGCAAAATCTCCATTCCCTCCTAATCAGCTGGGAATTGGGAGGCAGAGAATAGATGGGGGTGGGGCCGGTCAGAAATTTTACTACTGGTTCTCCGAACTACTCAAAATTTCCGCTACTGGTTCTCCAGAACTGTTCAGAACCTGCTGAAACCCACCTCTACTGTGCAGGTAATTATTCTTGGGATATCTTGGTTTTATGGGTGCATGCCCATAAAAAGGTGGTCTCCCCTATCTTTCCCAAAACTATTCAGCCATAGATAGTCTGATGGTAACTATGAAGATACAGGAATGACCACAGGGGTGGGTTTCAAAAATGTTAGCAAGGGGTTCTCTGCCTAGTTGCTGGGTGGGCATGGCCATGGTGGGTGTGGTCTAGTTGGCCTCCTGCACCATGGTGGGAGGGGTGTTTTTGCCCTCCCGAGCTCCAGAGGCTTTCCTCGAGCCTCCAGGAAGGTAAAAATGGCCTCCCCAGGCTCTGGAGGCCTTCCTGAACTTCTGGTAGGCTCATTTTTTCCCCCTCCCTGAGCTTCTGCATGTGCCCTGCATTTACCTGCATCCAAAATGGGCCACATGGGGCAGTGGTTCGTTGTCCCCAGTTCGGACTGGTTCACAAGAACCGGTAGTAAAACTGGCAGGAGGCTCCACCCACCGACCCGGACATCATCATAGGTGATCTGCATGCACGCTCCCAATGCAAACCAGTAGTAAAGGTAAGTAGAACCCACCCCTGGCGTGGGGACTCCTGGGAGGGGCAGGGCGGGCTGGTCCAGCCAGGAGTGGGATTTGGGGGTTCTCCGAACTGCACAGAATTTTAGCTAGAGGTTCTCCCAAACCCCTGCCAACCCCCAGTAGCCCACCCCTGAATGGCCACATGGAGGCAAGCGCAAATAAATGGAGAAGGATGGTCATTGATAAGCAACATATTCTTTTTTCTGCAGCTTAAATATCTTAATACATTGATTGTATAAAAAAGTCTGAATATTGCTTTTGCAGATCTTGATTCTTAACTACTTAGTAGGTTCTCAACATCATGAATTTCCTAAAGAACATGTGGTAGCTGCTTTTGATAGTTCTTGGGAACAAAGTTCAGCTAAAAAGCCATTTAAGAGATCTAAATGTATATAGTTTTATCAATTCCTGTCTCTCTCTGTTATTTAAAAGTAACCAATGAGAGATAAAGAGAGCACAAAACACTCTAAAGTAGAACATACTGAATCAAGTGTTTGACATAAGAAAACAGACTATATCAGGGGCTTTCTTTGCTCATTTCCTGCTGTAATAGCCAAAAATGAAATAGATTTATTTTCTGAATAGTCATCTGCCATATGGAGAGCATTTTTTTTTTTTTTTGCAGACCAGTACAATCCTCACTCTTAAAATATATTTTAGAGATCATGTATATTTGTCAACATGAGTCTTTCTGGATATATTGTACTACAGTTCCCATTATTCCTAGCCAGGACATCTGGAAGGGCCTGATAGGACTTTGATCTTCAGCTAATAGTTTATTATTCAACTTACACCACCAGCATATCTTTTATTTGTTTATACTACATATCTCATTCTCATAAGTACAAAAATGCTATGTAATATCTGTTTAAAAATAGCTTATCTATTTAGTTATGTATCTTTGGCTATGGACATTAAAGCAGGGATAAGAAGGAGAGAATGAGTTTCCATTTTTGGTGATAGTTTCTTTTGATACCTATTTAAAGAAAGTTTTTTTTAAAACACAAACACACACACACACACACATACCACTAGAAACGTACATCCTGTTTCATCAGTTTAATCGTGAGATACCCTGAAGACAAAATTTGGACATACATGAATGCCATTTACACATACAATTCCATTCATACCATATAGACTCATTCATACCATATGAATGAATGTTCCAAGTAACACCCCCAATAAGATTCCAAGATTTGAAGTTCCTCAAAGTTCCATTTTATTAGAGATGTCATATTTGCTCATCTGGGAAAACCCGAATCTGAAAGCTTCCAGATTTTCCCCACCCAACAGAAAGTTCAAGTCCCTGCCCAGAACCCACATGTCCATCACATGGTCCAATCAAAGCACCATCCCAACTGGAGATGCCTCCCAGTCACACCCTTCCAGGTGCAGGGCAAGATGTCCTTGACTCTCTGCGAAAGGAATGTTATTATGACTATATATCACCCCAGCTGCATACAATTCCCCCTCTCAGTTTCCCACAGCAGTAAATGTGGCAGGCCTGAAGGCCCAGTGCAAAAGATGGCTTCCAGGCCTGACACCATACTTACTCATTTATGCATTATATACACATTCCATTCATAATCCTTCTTCTCAATCAGAAA